ACACTTCGATCAACGTTGATTTTGTTTTCGAATTCTTTTTTTTCTCTGTCCAAAGCGTTTTGAATTCGTAGCCATTTTCCCGAGGTTCTTGCGTTTATCATAGCAAGTTCTTTGTTTGCGGTTTTACATTGAACTGCTGGCTCCACCTCGAGGTTGTCTTGTCTTCCTTCGGCCATAGCTACGTTGTTCTTTCCTGTAATGATACGATGTACATCTGAGTGTTAGTCAGGGATAGATCAAACTACTGATGGTCTCAGGCACCATCTATCAATTCTACCTGTTCAAAATATGACATACATAACAAGGCTTCTCGCATTTTATTGCTATAACTAATGCCCTCAACTCAAATGCTATTGTCCGGTTAATTGAGCTCGTGGGATTACTTCAATTTTGATAAGAAAATGCTTTGTTTGAACTAATCCTTTAAGCCTGTCGTAACAAAGGTAAGGTAATTCGGTTCAATATTTAATTTACTGAAAAATATTTTCACGTGTGCATTTAACAGACACCTTTGCTACATCTAATAACCATAACTAAGAAAACGCCAACTTTAGTACAATTTAAACTGTGTCAGTACTGAACGAGCTTTTGTTCAATATCAAAGAAAAGTAGTGRGTAACATAATTTGATGTTGGATATACGATATTATATATTATTATATATTTATATCTATCTACACTATCAACAGGGGAGCTGAATAATAAATGAATTTTTCATTACAAGCTGATAAATTATAAAAATATTCATTGTAATCCACTTTCGCAAAAAAGCATGGTACTGAGACCCTTGCATGTGACGTCATAGGATGGCTCACTTTTCACAACTATAAAAAAGGCGAGGAATGCCTAGTTAATATCATAATTTTCGCACCAACTCAAAATGCTCAATTTTGAGCTTAATCCGTTGGTGTAAAATTCATAAAATTAATTAGGCGTTCCTCGGACTCATTTGCATGATATCAAAACCTTCCCAATCTGTATTCAGCGTGTTTTTCGAAACTTTACCGGCCGAAAAAGACCATTAATAGATTTTCTTATTAGCGATGTCTTGTAGAATATCCCGTGCACTATAACCCATGGTTTAGGTGGATTTGGAGCGATTTTGAAAAAGAAAAAAGCGCGAGCAACGCCAGGTCAATATCGTGATTTTTACACCAGCTCAAAATGTTTAATTTTGAGCTTAATCCGTTGGTGTAAAAGTGATGAAAATCACCAGGCGTTCCTCGCTCTCATTTRCATGACGGGTTCTGTTTTTTTCGTGTTTTTCGAAAGTTTTTCAAGTAAAGCCCGTCATTCATAAGATTCCCACGCTTTGGGGACTTCCATGGGCTATACCCTTGGGATTTGGGACATTTCCACGCATTTTTCAAAAAAGGGTTAACGTTTTGTCAAAAGATCTTGTATAAAAAGGACGAGGAACGCCTGGTGAATATCGTGATTTTTACACCAGCTCAAAATGTTTAACTTTGAGCTTAATCCGTTGGTGTAAAAGTGATGAAAATCMCCAGGCGTTCCTCGCTCTCATTTGGATGACGGGTTCTGGTTTTTCTGTGTTTTTCGTAAGTTTTCGAAGTAAAACCTGTCATTTATAAGTTTCCCACGCTTTGGGGACTTCCATGGGCTATACCCTTGGGATTTGGGGCATTTCCACGCAGTTTTCGAAAAAGGGTTAACATTTTGTCAAAAAATCTTGTATAAAAAGGACGATGAACGCCTGGTGAATATCGTGATTTTTACACCAGCTCAAAATGTTTAATTTTGAGCTTAATCCGTTGGTGTAAAAGTGATGAAAATCACCAGGCGTTCCTCGTTCTCATTTACATGACGGGTTCTGGTTTTTTCGCGTTTTTCGAAAGTTTTCGAAATAAAACTTGTTATTAATAAGTTTCCCACGGTTTGGGGACTTCCATGGGCTATACCCTTGGGATTTGGGGCATTTCCACGCATTTTTCGAAAAAGGGTTAACATTTTGTCAAAAAAGCCGATATGAAAAGAATGAGGAACGCCTGGTGAATATCGTGATTTTTACACCAGCTCAAAATGTTTAATTTTGAGCTTAATCTGTTGGTGTAAAATTCGTGAAATTGATCAGGCGTTCCTAGGACTCATTTGCATGATATAAAAGCAATGCCCATCTTGTTTGTGTCAATATTATGAATTTCACATCAACTCAAAATGATCAATTTCGACTGTCATCCCTTTGTGTAAAAACATTAATATTAAAGTTTATAGGGGTGTACTCAAACATTTCCATGTTCTGCAATTGAATATTCATACATTGAAAAGAATTTTACATCAGTTGAATTTTTTAATCTCTTTATTGTCATTTGCCATTTGTAATAACAAGTGAATGCATGAATGTATGTTGATGGATTAAAGAATAATCAAATTAATAGTTCAGTGACTGAATGTGACATAAAAATAGAAATATAAGAAAAAAGTCAAACAATTTATTAAGATATGAACAACTGGAAGGGAAAAGAGGAAAAAGAGAATTTGATAGCATTGTTGAGACCAATTCAAACATAATCTTCTGGACCATCTTGTGGATGGAATAAAATTTGGATCAGTATCATTCCACTATTTCCAACTATAAGTTGATCAGCAGGGACTATATAGTCTACACAGAGCCAAAGTTCTGATGTAGTAGTCCTTTTAGAACTTTTCTGTCTTGTGTAGATTTCTTAGCTTGGTGTTTATCAACATTAAGTAGTTGACTAATTTTGATCCATTGATCTCCAACATATTTAGCAGATGGAATTGCAAACAGCAACTGTTTCGTTAAATTTGAATTTGGTCTTCTGCAAACATGTGCAATGTACTTCAAGTAGCGTATGTATATAAAATCACGAAGTGCCAGGGTTCCCACTATTCTCTAAATACAAATGTGTAAGGGCGTACACATTGCGTACAAACTCTTTACAGTCATTCACAACAGCACACATGCAATCACACAATTTTTACTTTCACAAAGGGTTGTGATGGATGTCAAATTGTTTTCATGAAGGTTTGAAAAACACCAAGTTTCCATGGAAATACCCGGATTCATGTCCATCGAAACCTTTACTGCGATGATTCCACATGCCATTGAGAATGATTGCAACACCATTATTAATCGCACACTACTATCCACCTAACCTTGACTGCAACTTCATTCATCAAGAGCACAACAGTCTACCTTACACAGAAAAGAACTCTCATTCAAAATCTTATCCATTTAGCTTAGTTAACCATCTTTACTCGTCCTTGGTAAATAAGACTCGAGCATCAAAATAAGGAATCTGGAAAACACGGCCAATTAACACTGCCAAAAATTCTTTCTTAAAATGCCCATGACACCTTTATCCATATTTTCAGCATTGATTCTACATGGAGTAGTTAAATGGTAAAATATTTACATATTTTACATRATTTGAGTGATGCACCTTGAAGGTATCAAGGTTTATGATTCCAATATGTTAAGGAGTGACATCTTATGAACCATTCGAGTTTGGTCATATTTAAATTGAATCGCACCTTTCTATAAACCAGATAATGTTTGATACAGTATTTTAATGACCCAGAAAAGTTATTTAATGCCTCGTCATCACACTCATTAACATATTTGAAATATAAACCTTCATATCTTCAAGATGTTACTCAATTCATAAACAGCAATGCTGAAAATATTGATTTTGGTGTAATAGACACTTTAACTTTAAATTGCTGCCCACATCACACCATCAGTGATTCCTTCACAAGAACCAACTAGCCTCGTCTTCCTTTTAATCTCCACCAGTAGCAAAGGCAACTCCTTCAACAAAATTTGCAAGGCTCTGAACTGAAAATTTTGTCAATCTAATTCAATCACTTTTGTGCTGCTTAGCTATTCCCAACCAAACTGTCTGCTTTTTTTGTGTATGTGGTGAATATAACAAAATCTCTAATCAAGTGTTGTCTTGTAGGTTGGTTTCATATCACGAGGATTCAATCATAAACCTTTTCTACATCCCTGATGACTGGCACTCAGGCCTGAATTAATAAAAAATTGTTTGAAAAACCCTTCTTATTGTAAAATCTCTAAATCTCTCTTTTGTTTGGGTGTCTTCCACTGGATGTTTTTAATGATATAGTGACCACCTTAAATGTATTAGTTTTCATTGTTGAAATATCAATATGGGATGTCCAGAAGTGAAATTGTTTATGCCTCCAGATATTAATTAAAAATTTTCTGCATACAATATGCAAGTCTTCTTAAGTTAGGTGTCCGTCAAATTTCATTCTGAATTGAGTATGCTTTTTTGCGGGGTAACTGCCAATTTCAGGGAAAACCTGCAAGATTGCTTCCAAGTGTTAGCCAAATCCAGAATAAAGTCTGGGTTGTCTGCCAATTTCAGCATACAGTCAGCAGCATTTTTGGGTGGGTGTCTGCCAATTAGAAATAGAGGTCCCCATACAGCAACATAATCAGCTTAACACCAAGGACAACAGCATGTATACAGGACCGACCGCCACAGCAATGTGCTGTAGGCGGCAGCAGCACTCTGAGATCACTGCAAGAGCTGAGGTCGTCAGACCAGTACTGCATTTTACTACTGCGCCTATGGGAAAGTTAACAGTCATACATTTAATAGGGGAAAATGTAATGTTGATACTATTATACAAACTAATTATTAATAGTTGAGAGATTTACCATCACTTCTTATGTCAAACGTTTTAAAAAGCAAAATCTTACTGTTTAAGATGATAATGGAGAAGGTTTTTGTGGATGTTAGTTTACTAACTTTATCATCACCAACTGGAAACAGCAAATGCATACAGAATGTGGCCATAGAAATGCTATACTTGATGTCCACGAAACCCTACTGCCTATGGCTTGGAATAGATGAATTTCTTGCATTGCATTTCATTGAATAAACGAAAGCAAGCATATCATTATGAAGTGGGGATAAACTCTCATGGCTTGTAGAAGTTACAAGAAAAAACAGGGTTTAGATAAAGCTTTCCTAGGGATCTTTGCATCTAAATAACAAATAAAATAAAACTGGAGAGACAAATTAACATGATAAAATAGAACTGTCCTGGTTATTTTTAACACCTGTTATAGCGTAACAAAAGTTCAGCTCTGTAATTCTGTTACGGTTATCTTTACCAGTGTTGTGGTTAAGATTTTCTATTGACTAGGACCTCTGGTCTGTTTGAACAATGAGCAAGCAAAAATACTAATCAATATTTACATTGTAGAATCATACTTTCTCAGAAATGCCAAGGTTTTTTAACAGCATCAAAGACAGAACCACAAGCTTAAGGATACATAGCATGACTGAAAGAAAATGTAAACGTGGTGCCAGTGTCTGAGAAAGCATGATTCTACTGGACTACACTATGCAAACAAATGAAAACATTATTGCAGCAAGCTGTATGGTTCAGCATAGCATTTAGAGATAATACAGCACTAATAAAACTAAAAAAAATAACAGTTACATGTGTTCTGGAATGTCCATGACACTGTAGCATAGTATTTTATTTTAGCCTTCCAAGAGTGCATAATGCATTGCATCACGGGTTGTTTTAATGGACACTTTAATACTTATATGGTATTTGTTTCACATGCTGGTAGTGAAAAGTGATAGGAATTGCAGTCTTTTCAAATTTGTTTTGTTTCTTGATGCATAAAATCCAACTGACTGTTAAAGCATCCGTTAAACCAGCCCCATGATGCAATGCATTTCTACACCTCTGGAAAGGCTAGTACCAGAGTAGCTATTGGAAAGATTGCAGGTACGAGGGCATTATTTGCACAGAATAACTAAAAATTGACATTATGTACTACCTAGTCTCAAAAAGAGGCTAGTAGCAACAGAAGGCAGCTGGGATAAGATCAGCAAATCAGCTAATACAATACACCAAACTCTTCCCTCACTGATCGTCCTGCTGAAAGAAAAAAACATCATACAATAATCAACAACCAAAAACTAACAGAATACATAGTTATTAGTCAAGAGCCTCTTCATTGTTGATGGAATAGTCTCCATTGTCTAGTTCTTCTCTTGGTGGTGATCGCGATGGTGATCTTTTGGGTGAATGGGAGCGAGATCTTGACCTAACAGGAGACCTAGATCTATTAATTGGAGATCTGGAATGAGATTTTGAAAAACGACGGTTTGATCTTGATCTGCTTCGAGAACGAGACTCACGTCTTGCAGGACTTCTGGAACGTCTTGGGCTGTAGGAACGTGAACGACGCCCTCTTGGAGATCTTGATCTGCTGTAGCGTCTCTTAGGAGACCTTGATCTGGATCTTGAATAGCGACTTCTTCTAGGGGGGAAAAAACGTTAAATAGTCATAATCAGCATTGGAGCGAAATTATATTTATAGTAATGTTATTCATTATATTCATTACTAAATATTCTTATCCATCCAATTTTGTTGTTTCTTATCAATATGTTTAACAAATTTTGGCCCGATATCTAGTTAGAATGTTTGATTTTTCCCGAAGGAAGAAGCCCTTCCAGAATGAACTAGAATGAAGTTCTAGTAACTTTCAAAACATGTCGAAATAGTTCTTTTGGCACTGCAGTAGTCAAATAAGACGTCCAAACCTTACAAAATACAATCACAAAGCATATTAACCTTCTTCTTGGTGATCGAGATCTTGAACGGGATCTGTACCTTCCCCCGCCATACCCACGATTATCTCGTCTGCTTGGTTTATACGTTTCTGTAGGTCTTCCATATCGAGCCATTTGAACACGAATTTCTCTCCCATCTACAACTTTTCTATCCATTTTATCCATGGCATCTTCAGCATCTCTTTTTTCCCAAAAGCGAACGAAAGCGAAGCCTCTAGACTGTAGATGTTTACGGTCTCGTGGGATGTAGATGTCTCCAACTTCACCAAACTTGCCAAATAACTTCTTTAAATCTTCAATACCTGTGCGATAAGTTAGGTTATCCACCTTCAGACTCGTCATTCCTTCTATATTTGGAGGTCCTCTACCGCTATCGAAACTCATTTTGCAGCTAAAACCCGCTAACTTTCTTGCTTCTTCTCTTCCTCCTTCTCAGACAGCAACCAATATGGCGTCTGCTAAAAGCACATGTGATTAGAGGGGGGAACTAGAAGATTGCTATTGATTGGGACCCCACTTAGGAAACCACAGGAACTCCAGCTCCATACTTGTTTGGTTGTGTAGTACAATGCAATACAATACAATAACTTTATTTATCCTTGAATTAAAGATAGTCTGTTATATCAGTTTTCCTTATCCGAAAACCGATGGCAGACCCAGGATTTTTAAATAACCAACAACAAACGATAATTTAATCAATTACATTCTACATGGGCGTAGGGGAGGGGGGAGGAAACCACCGCTCGACCTAATATACGCAGCAACAAGGATTATTCATTCAATGTCGGAAAAACGTTTTCCGTCTTCGTTATTATTTGGTCTGGCAGTATTACGTGTCCTTCCGTTGTTGGCCGGCGGTGCCATTCGTCGTATTTTCGTCTTTATAATAAACTCAACAAAATTACTCGATTCTGATTGGACRAGAGGAGTACAATTGACCTAATTCACTATGACGTCACTGCTTGTTTATGTCGGGGATAGAATCGCCAAATCCAATAGAAAATTCAACTAAATTTGCTCCTAGCGAAACAGTTTAATCTAAAATGGCCTGGTTTTCAGATATAATACGTGTTAATATGTACTAAAAAATATTCTGAGCGTTTGCTGGCTATTCTACTTCTCTTCGTGGAATGATACGAGATTTAGAACAATTTTCGGTTAGTTTGCGTTGATTTGACCCCGTCCGACGACCATGATCCTTTGCGTTTAAACAATAGATTGTTTTGATGTGACGTCATAGTGAAGTAGGGCAATTAAATCCCTTATAGTACACTCAACAAAATTACTCGACTCTGATTGGTCGAGAGGAGTACAATTATAGCGTTAATTGTACTCCGTAGGAGTACCGAATTAAGTCGCTATGGCAACACGGCCAAAACACTATGTCAAAACAATTATTTTCTATCATTTTGTACTTAAAAAACATATAAATAAAATTTTAAAGCCGTAAGAACTAATGTTTTATATGCATTTCAGTTGCGCGATGGACTGGAAATCTGCCGCCAAATAGACAAAGATGAACGGCGTCGCTTCGCATTTTTTACTGAAATTTTGTTGAGTGAACTATAAACAAAAAATCGCACGATCTCGAGTACAATTTGGAGAAATTAATAGACACGAGTAATGTTTTGTAAGTTCTTGTAATTGCACGAGCCTTTCCCTATACAAATTGTACTCTATAGAGCCCCAATTAAGTTGCTCAATTTTGTTGAGCGTATTATAAACCAAAAAATTGCATAATCTTCTCGTACAATTCGGAATTTATAGATACTCGTGATGTTTTGAAAGTTCTCAAATTGAACTCGCCTAAAGGCTTGTCAAATTTTGAAAACTTTCAAAACATCACTCGTACCTATAAATTCCGAATTGTAATCGAGATCGTGCGATTTCCTATGCTTATTCATTGCGAAAATTGATCTTTTATTCGGTGTATCTTTTTTTCATTTTCTTTATTTTTTATTTTTTWWATTACGCACCTGAATCATTGTTTCTTTTGATTCACCGTGACATCTTCTTTTCTAATGAAATAAGCACACGAAATCAACCATCACAAGAGAGAAAGTGTAATTAAGATATTGCGAACAAACTAGTGGACTGGTCAAATTAAAAAATCAGTAAAAACCCATGAGTAGATTTGAGAACCGGTCTTGGTTGCATCCTATTTCAGTCACCAATAAGTAGGTAGTTTTGGACAACCGTGATTTGGAAGCCACTTGGACAAACGCTCGGCCAATAATCTTGAGACGATAAGAGTTCGTTTGCACTTGGAACATGACAAGCGGACTTGAAAAATTACATGATTTTCACTACGGGACAAATGAAGTGAAATCGCGAGGGCGACAAGGACGTTTTAGGTGTTGACCATGATTAGTCTTTTCTTGTGATAGTTTACGATGAAATGTCATTGCGTGGATCAAACTAGTACATCGTTTCTTTATCTAAAAAGCTAAAGTTCTTCGTATTTACACAAGAAGTAGAAAACGGTTGTGATTTGTTTGGATATGTCAAGGTTTTCAAACACTTTGCTTTTAAAAGGGCTGTGTTTTTGGCATTCAACGCTGAAAATGTCTCGGAAAGAAACCTCCCTTGGATGTACCTGCAATTATAATCTACTGATAGAATGCGTTAATAAGAAAAAGGAACCAATTTATTTGATAGGGTCGAAAATTATAGAAAAGATAATAAGCTATAGGATGTAGTTTAAATCACCGACTTGGCTCGTATGAAAAACGCATGTGAACAGAAGGTAGTCATACCTCGGCTGTCATCCAGTCAATCTGCTCGCGCAGTAGTTCTACAAATATAATATCCGCTCACATAAAACTGAGAGGTTGAATACCATTTGGCGATTAAGATCAGATTTCACTCATCTTTCACTAGAGTATTTGATCGAGCAAAACAGGTTCCAGTCAACTGACATTTTGGAAAATCGATAACAAATTTTAGCGTTCTCGCGCCGCGCAGCCAAAAATGCATGATCGTCTCGCTAAACGAAGAGAAGAATATGCAGATGATATCTAGCGGTTACATGAAAGTCAACAAAGCCGGCAAACAACTCTTGAATCTAATGAAACGGTGAGGATATCGAGGTGAGCCTTTGTACACTGATATATATACCGGTCGATGCAGTGATAAACTCCATGAACCGGACTAAACAAGGGGTTCTTTTTGTGATTTTTTGACAGTGACAATCCYCAGTATAGCCCACCTACTAACCAGACTTACTGATAATAATTGAAGTGTGATTGGACTCGGCTATCAGTGGGAAGTTTTTGTTTGATGTCAAAGCGCGAAAGTAAGGAAATTCAGCCAAGTCAAGTTAGTGAAAAAAGTTTCACAAGACGCAATATGACTCAACTCGTAGGCCCTCGACTGATGGTACTGTAACTGAGGACAGCCCTTTAGGAAGGGAGTGAAACTGGGATCGAAAGGAGAAGAAGTGAGAATATAGCAATAGTGTTGATTGATGGTTTCGAGTTGTTCTAATAGCCCTTGAATCATATACATCCTAATATGATCATGCGGACAACAGCATCAAACATCTTCAAAGCCATCTCAACAAGACTGTTATTCGTAGGTCATGCCCTGCTTGCCATCTATATGGTAACAGTCATCTCCAATGATTCCAAGATGTGGCATTTAGCTTGGATTCTTGTTACGCTACTCATAGAGACCATCATTGCCATCATTTACCGAAAGGGGGACGAATGTAAATGGTAAGTTATCGGTTAACCTGCTCAACGAAAAGAAATAAGGCGATTCAAAGTACTTATTTCCAGATAAAACTGCATATGTCAGTTGTATGATAAATGTAAAAATGATCGCGCGCTGTCCGAAGCCGGTCCGGCGTATTCATAGTTAGAAATAGTATACATAATAGCCTTTGAACCTTATCCAAGGACCATGTCATGCAAGATTATAGCGAGTCCAATCGTCTATTACAAAACAACATTTAACACTAATGTACATGCAAACTGATCTTCCATCATCTTAATTTTATAAGAACATAATTTGTTAGTTAGATAATCGTATAATCTACAAAGGAATATCGATATCGGAATGAATAGTTAATAGTTTAGTTGCGCAGGACCRATCCGCCCTTTCGCCAAAAATCATAGCACAGTAATTAAGATTACTACTGATCGTTCTCCTCATTGCAGTTCTTATTCTGTAAGGGATTCCAGGCCAAAACATTATCCTTTACAAGATTGGATAATTTATTCTCTAAGGCAGAGTAAATGATAAATCTTCGTCCCATTTATTTACTGAGTAAGAGAAGGATGAAATAAGTACTAGTTTTTGCAGGATAGCAAAAATTCTATTGACCAGAAGTCAATTCAGACAAGTGAATAGCTAGCGAAGGACACTGGGTGTGCCTTCAAGATTTGACTGTAAAGTAAATTTGAACACAAACGCCGGTGCATGTGATACGATCCTTATGCCTTGAAAACCCAGGCGTTTAATCAGCAGCAAACGGTGTCCAAACACTGAGAACGTTCAAAGGAAAAGCGACTTCATAAGTTTTTGAAAGAAATGCCCCAGAATCCTCAGTATCCCGTGGYCGGCTTTTCCATTTATTTCTTGAAATTAGAGGATACTGATTAGCAAGCACTGTAAATATCATATATCCCTCGGTACTCATGATCTTTTTCTTCTGGATGAATAGAATCGCCGAAAATATTGTATATATACATGGTGTGTGTTCTAATCACCTTGTACAGGATGTAATTTAAAATCTTACTCGTTATATTCATAAAGTAAATACTACAAATGAAATATTTGAGTATAATAGCAAGGACGGTTCTCGAATGTTATAGAACAAAGTATATTCGAACAACAATATTCTGCCTAAAAGAAGATACAAAATATTTAAAACAATTCTGAGATTTTGTTACGGATTTTTAGATAATTTTTTGATGGAGATATAGGGATATTAAAAATAACTAAAAAGTATAGAATTTTGAAAGTATCCTTTTCGTATTAATACACTGCGAGATGAATTTACACTCAAGAGTATACGAGTTATGAGTTAGGTTGTGCGATGAAATCGTCTTGTCACTATTCGTGTGAAATAAAAAAAARGCAATAAGACGAATGAAAATAAGATAATTTTTTGAGGGGTAAGAATAAAAACCAAACAGCGTGAAACTTAGACTTGAGTATTCAAAAATAGAATAGTTTCACGCTGTCAAGACATGGCAATACAGACATGCACCTCGTACTGATGATGAATCTAGTGATCGACTATCGAATGCAATTCAACATCAGTCAAAACACTGACATGACTGTGATGTTCTGTTGAGAAAATCCTCTCATTATGAGATGAAAGTGTAAAGTAAATACCGTCCATTTGGACTATTAAATAAGAAATATATGATAAAACCCATGTATGTTTTATCCGGCCGTCAGTGGAAGTGAAGAAAGATTCAAGACCGTTATCACTGTCTAATGACATGCCGTGCTTTCAGTGTAGACACTGTTTTGCCGGCACTAATTCAAACGAATATCGGATGCCCTAAATATCATCAGATCTTGTTTTAAGAATGTAAGTGGTGTACACCTGCCTCTTGTCAACTATTTTTGGAATAATTGTTCAAGTGATTTCTATGATATCACCTTTGCAAAGCAGCTCGCCATCATGGCGGTGACACTAATAAAATGGTTAATTTTATTGAGCGCCCGTGTATATAAAGGTAGGGCGACCGGTCCTGGTGCTAGGAACGTCACTGGTGCTAGGGACATCCCTGGTGCTAGGGACATCACTGGTGCTAGGAACGTCACTGGTGCTAGGGACATCACTGGTGCTAGGGACGTCACTGGTGCTAGGGACATCACTGGT